TCTGTAGATGTTCATTGAAATTAATTTTTTAAAAAAAGAAAAAAAGGATGTGGTTATTTCATGGTACATCCATACATTAAAACTAAAATGTATTCAGATATATGTGATGTATGTATCTATGGTATTTAAAAGACATAAAATAATGTTACATGGGAAAATAAAAGCAAAAATCAGTATATGTATTAACCTGTTCATGTGTGTGCATACAAAGAGGAAAAAAAGTGCTGTTGTGATATATGCCAATTACTTTGCTGTAAGAAATGTCCATTTTGTTACAGGATTAATACCCCTCGAAGACAAGGAGGACTTGGGTCAATCAAGATTCCACTTCTTTCAGATTTGACCCATCAGATCTCAAAGGACTATGGTGTCTATCTGGAGGACTCAGGCCATGCTCTTAGGTACCATTCAGCAGTTTTACATTAAGATAAATTCAAGTATATTTGGGGTTTTTGTTTGTTTGTTTTTTAAGTATATTTGTATACAATGAGTTAGAGGATAAGAGATTAGGTCAAGAAATACTTATCTTGTTCCATTTATGAAAGTATAGTAGTTTCTCATTGAAAAATAGTAAGTTTCCTACTTAAACTGTTTCACTATTATGGACCTTCAGTGTTGTTTATAGCCTTCGACCAAACCTGTAATTTCACAGACAAAGGATACATTCCTAGAACTTTGATGATTGTTGTTGTTGTTGTTATGGATTGCCATGGAGTAGAGCATGACTCATAGCGACCTGAAGCCTTTCTATAATTATCGTTATCAAAAGGCCTAAAGCCTTTCTATAATTATCATTATTTATCAAAGATCATAGAGTTTCCAGAGCCATGTTATTTAGGAAGTGGATGCCACTCCTGCTTCCAAAGAACCTAGGTATAAATAATTAATGGCAGAACACACACAGACTTGAACTCAGGTCCCTAACTCTTCCTCCATTTCTTTTTCTGCTTTTCCATACTAACTCCAATAATGGCTTTTCTAAAAGAAAATAGCAGCAAAATTAGCAATCCTGTTTCTTTGGAGTAGGAAAAATTAAGAAAATATTTTACCCAGCAGCTCTCACTGAGTCAGTTGAACTAATAAATTCTAATACTCTTCTCCTTTGAGGAAGAGGTAATTTTAGCTTAAAACAGTTGTTGTTCTTTTGTTGTTAATTATATTTAGGTGTGCTTTGCAGTGTCAATAGCTTCTTTTCTTTGTTTTATATGAAAGTCAATGTTTTAGTATCTTACATTTTTATAACAGCTCTGTTGAGATATTCACATACCATACAGCTCATCCAGTTGTGCATCCATCACCACAATCAACTCTGGGACATTTTCATCATTGCAATATTAATCATTTCAGCAGCAAGTATTTTAGATCAAAGTACTTAATTTCCCCCGTCCCCCAGATTGGAGAAGCAGTGAGTCACACATAAGGGATTTAGAGAGATAATAGCTCAGATTGGTGACCTAGTCTTTCAACCACTGAAAAAGAGATACAGACACATCATAAATAGACAGTGGTAAGAAGTCATTCCCTTCACCCAGGAGAAGGTTTCATTATGTAGTTGTGCCATTTTGTATATAGTGCCATAAAATCTCATACCTCATACGCATGAAGATGCAACTGTAAAAAGTATTTCTGAAACTACCATTTTTCAGTGAGAAGCCCTGGTGATGCAGTGGGTCAAGAGTTAGGCTATAAACCAAAAGGTCAGTAGTTCAAACCCACCAGCTGCTCTACAAGAGAAGGATAAGGCAGTCTTCTCTGTACAGCTTCAGAAACGCTATAGGGCAGTTCTCCTCTGTCCTTTGGGGTAGCCATAATTTGAAATCTAATTCATAGCAGTGAGGTTTTAGAGAGAGAGAGAGAGAGAAAGTGTGTATCCATGTGTCCCTACCTGTTCACATACCAGTAGTATAAACTAGGTAGTGTGTTGTTAGCTGTGTTTAACACACTTCTGATCCTTCAAATCCTTCTGTATAAGTAGTACAGGGATTAACATTAACTAATACTTTTCTTAGAAGAAATGGTCTTACCATCATTCTTGTGTTTTACAGAGGTCTCTTTATTATTGATGACAAGGGAATCCTCAGACAGATTACTCTGAATGACCTTCCTGTGGGTAGATCAGTGGATGAAACACTCCGTTTGGTTCAAGCATTCCAGTACACCGACAAACATGGTGAAGGTATCCTTCATTTCAAAGCATCATGGCCTTTTGATATTTCCATTTGTGAAATAACATAATTACTTTCATTTATTTTTCTAATAAGATGACTCCAAAGCTTTCAAATTATTAGCAGATCTTTTTAACAGATTAAATTATTATTATTTCAAGTGCTATTTACAAAACACTAGGGAGCTGTGCTGCAAAAACAAAGGTGGTCCCTCTCTGGTAGTTCAACTCCACAGAAGAAAGCTGGGCAATCTTCTGTGTGATTTATAGCCTCAGAAACCCACTGGAGCTATGCAATGGTTCTAACTCAACAGCAATGAAATTTTTTGAATTAACAAAAGATCACTAATAATATTCAACTTACTGTGTAAGATGCTGAAACGTTAAAATGTCTATAATAGAGAGTTTATGAGAGTTTACTTTCCACCTCTTTGTCTCTGCAAAATATGTAAATTAGTATCTATTCAGGCCCAGTTTGTCTTTTCAGCAAGCCAGTAAAGAGGCAGCATACCACAAGCTAATCTGGTAATATTTTATAATATAAATTTTATTTGCCTGCCTATATGAGAGTAGTCTTTTTAACAACATACTCCTCAGAATTACTCAGTATCACACTGGTAATCAGTTCATTCCTCTGACCCTGAGTTTTAGCAACATGTTGTATATTCCTCTTAAAAGTAATCCTACTTGCCAAATAAGTGTAAAGTCTCTGTTGGTAAAGAGTGAACCATGGCATCAGTACAAAATACAACAGGATTTGTGAAGACAGCTCACTAGAAGTTTATGTCAGTTTAGAGGAAAATTTAGCCCTGCCCAAATCTTTTTGGTCAACAAATACCCAAACTTTCCAACATTACTAGAAGAACACTCAGTTTGATTTCTTATAAGTGTGAGTAAACTTAACTGGCAAAAGTGAAAATACAATATGTTGCCTACTGACAGCACCCCTTGTTCCAGATTTTTGTCATACATATAATGCTTAATCATATATTCCCTTCAGACAGTTCCTCCCTTCATCTGATCTAATGCAGTGTTCATTATCTATCTACTCTTTTCCCATTCTCTCACCAACCCCCACTGTGTCAATCCTATTTTATATCAGCAGTGTTATGTTGTATTTGTTCTTTTGTGACTGAGATATTTCACTCAACATAATGTCCTCTAGGTTCCCCCATGTTTTACGAGTTCATTGTTTCTCAGGGCTGTGTGATATTGCACTGTGTGATTGTACCATAATTTTTCTAGCCATTTGTTCGTTGATGGGCACTTGGGTTGTTTCCATCTCTTTGCTGTTGTGAATAATGAAGCAGTAAGCATGGGTGTGCAGAACTCTTTGTTTTTAAACTGTCTTTCCCATTTGTGTTCCTTTTATAGTCTGCCCTGCTGGCTGGAAACCTGGTAGTGAAACAGTAAGTTGAATTAATTTTCATCTTAAAGGACTAGAGGCAAGGGTGATAGGGCTGGTAATGCCATCCTCAGAGTAATCTTTCCTTGTAATTGTTGTTGTTGTTAAGTGCCGTCGAGTTGTAGACAACTCATAGAAACCCTATGGACAAAACACCTGAACACTTGTATAACTTTCATCATTTCTCTAAGTTCAGATAGTTTCCAGAGGCAAGCTATTTTGGAAGTGGATGCCTCTCCTGCTTCCAAGCCTGGGAGCTCCGCCAAACACTGTCCACCATGGATAACCATTATCGCATTTGGCATATCATCACAGTGTTTAGCATCATAGCAACCACGAGTTACCTCTGTATAGGAAACTGACAGACCAGGGCTCTACCACGTCTTAATTTTATAAATGAAGTAAGAATGGGTAGACAGGAATCATAGCATAATGGCATTCTTTGAATTGTAGGAAACATAGTTAAACTAGAGAAAGCATTAAAACAGGGTTTAATGCTGTCGATTTTAAAGCCAAATATAAAAAAAATAATTGTTTGAAATTTGTTGTTTTTAAAGAGAAAAAAAAATAGAGAGTTGGTAGGATACATTCAAGAATTCTGTAAGCCAAAATACAATTTAGAAACTTTCTGGGAACCCTTTTAAAAATAATATGTATCTTCTAAAAGCAAGGGTTTATTTCTAAAAACTATAGTTAAGAAATTGATAAAAATCAGTAGCTTCGAGAAAAGAAATCATTATCTTAAAATAATAGAAACAGAGTTTTGGTGGCTTAGGAATTGCACTGCCAGCGCAAAGGTAAGTGGTTCAAATCCACCAGCTGTTCCTAGGGAGAAAGATGGGCAGTCTCCTCATGAATTTTACTGCCTCTGAAGACTCACTGGAAAGTCAGCTGTGAGTTCTGAGTTGACAATACACAATAGAAAAAGAACCTTAAGAATTTATTAGCAAATAACAACAAAAAATACCAGTAGGTAAAAAAAATTAAACAAAAACTAACATTGGAATAAATGGGAAAAAAACCCCAACACACCCCAGTTGTTGTAGTCATAGCTAATTAGAGGTAGAAATTTACTCTGGAGTACATTTCACTGACTATAAACCAATTTCTGATGCTTTTGGAAAAACTTTCCCTTTAAGAGTCAGTGCTTTAATACAAACTCCTCTATACATAAATCTGGTAGATCTCAAGGGGGATTTAAATTTAAAAGTAGTTGAGCACTGTGTACTTTAAATTATAAATTAGTTATTAGGTTAGTTTACATTTATTGACTGTGAGGCTTGCAAATGGAAATACATATCAGAAGTCTCTGGCAACACCCAAGACTTAAAAAATGTTTCTGGATAGGTCTTCAAGGAAGGGATACTTCCTTCTGGCACCTTAGCAGAAACAACAGTGAACGATGAACTACATTGCTGTGAATCCATGTCCTGAGAAATAAGCAGAATTCCCAAGAAATACAAATTTACTATGAAGGGATAAACATTTTGCCTATCATAAAACATGTTGACTCTTTGCATGATTATGTTTTGTCATACTGCAAACACCTTTGAGAATCTCTGATGAAAACCATAGATTCTCCCTCAAGAACATTGTCAGTGTTTTGACATAATGTGTTTAACCATTCTGTCAACAAACATTTTTTGAGTACCTACCACATAGCACAACCTAGTCTTTGGTCTGAAGGTTGTGGAGGCTGAGGTTCATGTGGTCCACATGCCTTTAATTTTCTTCACGCTTACATGGCAAATCACAAACCAAGAGTTATTAGTTGGCATTTGAGCTGAAACCAGAGTAAAGGCAACAGCAAACGCAAAGATCCTGAGGCAGGAGCCAGCTTAGCATGTTCATGGTGCCAAAATGGCAGCAGTCAGCTATAAGTGGCTTAAAGTTGTAGGTAGGGGAAGAAGGAAAATAAGACAAAGTACAAGACGTTCAAGCAATAAAAGTTATAAAGAAAATTGTCTGCAGAGGAGGATGTAGGGTCAAAAAAGAATTTATGGTGGTGTAGCTTTGAATATAGATTAATCTGTCACCTCCACCTCCCTCAATTATCTCCTGGATATTACAGAGGTCTCCTGATTGATCTCCCTGACTTCTCTCCAGTGTATGTCATTGTTAAAACCAGAACCTTCTAGTGGCTCTCCAGTAAGGACACACCCTAGATACTTGGGAACAACGTTCAAGCTTTTCTATTCTACTTCCACTAGCTTCTCCCAAATTCATCTTTCCTAAGACTCTTGGACTGGAGCACGGTGTGCTTCAGCAAATTCCCAGATTAGTTTTGCCTTTTTCTGTCATTGTGCCTTTGCTCAGGTCTTTATGCAATTTAGAATGCTTGTCTAATTCTCCAAATTCTACTCACCTCTCAAGACTAACGTAAATGCCACTGCCACTCTGAAGTGTTCCCTGATTCTGCCATCATCATTCAGTGGATCACACATTCTGTGATAAAACAGGATAGCCTTGCACTGCATCAAAACCAGTTATGTGACACAATATATATGAATGATAGAAATACTAATAAAAAGATAAAAAACAAAGCATCTGTGTACATGCAAAGAGATTATAAATTCCCAAAGAGAATATTCCTTGAAGTAATGCTCATAAAAATAATTTTATGCTGAAGAAAAATTTCTTAAAGAAAATTCTTACAAAACTGTGCTAAGCCAATTACAAGGCGCTATTTTCTATATGTAAGAGTCCAAGTGTCATTTGCATGTAACTAGCAAGTAACACAGTTAATATGAGGTCAAATGTTTTTTAAAATAAAAAGATCAAGTAGATTCCCAAGGCTGTGGTGTTCTTAGAGCGAGCACATTTTAAAGAGTATGTGTTCATTTGGTGGTAGTCCAGCATAGTACTCGATGTTATATTTTAGTTTTGTTTCTTTACTTTGTCATTTGAAATGAAAAGGTTGTGTCTGGATCACACCAAAAAAAGCCCACAAAAAAAAACACCACACCTACTTTGATTAAACCCCTAGTGAACACGTTTCACCTTTTCAGCATTTTTGGTATACTACCATTTAATCAGCAAATTATCTTTAAAATACATTAACATCTGTAGCCATGCTCTCTTGATGTGTTTTAATTACTTAGATCAAACCTGAAGATGCCATGAAAGCCTGGTGGCCAAGAGAAGAGTTGTAAGTAACATTTCGGGTGCTTGAATACAGATGTTAATTTATTGACAGATAATAAATTTGCTTTGTGGGCTATCTGAAATTGGCAGACAGGACATACCCATTTTTTCCTAAATATATGTAACTGATACAGAGAAAACATCTTTATCTTTTTTAGTCAAGAGATGGGCAACTATTGTCTACTAATGACATACTTGGGATTTAAAAAGAAATAATTTACTTTCTCTTTTTTTTTTAACAGATAATCCCAGATCCAGCTGGAAAACTGAAGTATTTCGACAAACTGAATTGAAAAAATACTTCATCAGGGAACAGTGTTTGAACGTTACCAATAAAGTTCAATGTTTTGTTGCCACATTATTTTGCAGTGGTAATTTCTTGAAAAATATGAAAATTCATGTCATAGTACAAAAACGAAAAAAATAATAGCAGTGTTCCAGATAGACACTGATGCCAAACACAGGCTACATCTTTCCAAAATAAGAAATGTAAGAGCGAACCAGCCTACAGAGTCCATACTGGATGCCCGGCATTGTGCTATATGCAAGTTACATGTGTTGTTTCATTTAATCCTCAGAGCAACTCTGAAATAGAAATTCAGAAACATGACCTTCCTAAAGTTGCAAATTAGCTGCTAGCTAGTTAAGGCAGAATGAAACTTTGAACTCTGGCAGACTAACTCTAGTTTTGGGGTTCTTTTACACTCCACTGTGGCTCACCTCTCTCTACCTTTTGAGAGCAGTGTTATCATAACCTGAAGCCCTTTTGCCCATTTTCTCTCAAATCAGATTTTCTATTTGTACTAAATTTACCAATAAGTTATATGCATACATTTATATATTTATTTTATAGATATAAATTTATATTTATTTGTTTTTATTTATATATTTTTATTTATTTTTTATTTTATTTTTATATTATATTTTTTATTTATTATAAATTGAAGAGAGTTAATTGCTAGCTCTTAACAAATGAACCGTACAAAGCTGAATTCTAATGTCACTTTACTCCATGTGCCACTCCAATAGTGGCAATTTAAATGCTATGTAGTTAAGGGACCTGGGAGAATTTATGTCATCTTCCCATTCACATCTCTTCTCTCAACATTCACAAAAGTCTCCATCCTTAGGAAAAGCCTGTCATGACTAAATGGTTAATCATAGGCATCTGCCATGGACAATGGGACTCCAACCTTCTTTTTCTACTGCAGTGTTCAAAATGCTTACATTTGAAATTTTAGAAACCAGCTTATTAGTAAAGTTAAAGATAGTATTTTCATGTTTAGATTTGTGGCAGTCTTGAACTGTTTTTTAATAAACAATTTAAGTCCTTAGATTTCCTCTTCCCAACCTAAAAAGTACATTTTAAAATCATGGAATGAAGTCTTGACTTGCTTGAATCAAAGTTCCCACTCATTGAAGCTAACTAGCTCTCCTGTTTATCTTGGGTATATTCTCAGGGAGAACAGCTATTCTTAGTTCCATTTGAAAAAAAAAAAACATCTTTTCAACATTCACCAACTATATTGATTACCTACTTATTCCAAACAGTTGACATACATAGTGAATAAATGACAAATTTCTGCCCTCAAGGAGCTTAGTATTTGATGAATGATTAATAGAGTCATTTCCAGGCACTTAAAATACACTATATTGCCTTGGTAATATAAATAGCCTATACTTCTGTCAGTTTGCTGTACTGAAGTAATTTGGGTTTGCTGTGATGCTGAAACTTGTGCCATTGGGGTGTCAAATGTATTAACAGTTGCCCAAGGTGGACAGTGTTTGATGGAGCTCCTAGTTTAAGACAGGTTTGGAAGTAGGAGTAGCATCCACTTCCTAAACCACATGCCTATGGAAACTCAACTTGGAGAAATGATAAGTTATAGAAAGGCTTCAAGTCTTGTTCATAAGGTCGCTATGAATGCTACTCGGCTCGACAGCAATCAACAATAATATGCATAAAATAGCATTGCATGTATCCCGTCAGAACTTTTAATAAACTATCCCTTCAGACAGCTGATAGTCGACAATTGTATGCTAAAAATAAACCCATATAAAAACTCACTGCCATCAAGTTGGAGCCAACTCCTAGCTAACCCTTCCATTGGGTTCGAGATTGACCATCTCTCTCCCAAGTGAATTCACCAGAAAAGTGTGGCTTTTACATCTGCAGTGCAACTGCCTACAGACTAAGCATTAGAGCTCCTTAAGCCCTTTATAAAAGGCTGTAGTTAAGTGCCATTGAGTCGCAGATGACTCATAGCAACTCTATGAAGAAAAGTCCTCACTCAACACTTGTGTATCTTTCATCCTCTCTCCAGGTTCATAGGGTTTCTGGAGGCAAGCTATTGCGGAAGTGGATGCCACTCCTGCTTCCAAGCTTGTTTTAATTGGGGAGCTCCACCCAACACTGTCCGCCATAGGTAACCAACCATTAACACATTTAACGCATCAGTGTCACAGTTGTACAGCAAATGGACACACCAGGGCTATACGATGTAAGGGAATGTTTGAACAAAAACAATGAAAGACAGGCCCAAGGGCTGCGGATTAAAAGTCACCCACCTTTGGCTTGGTAGCATCGCTTTCTGTCCACTGGGCCAACTGATCACTCTCTATGTTGATGATGTTGTTAAGGCTAGGGGGGAAAATATTCCCTGTTCTGCTAGAGAAGATATGGACCCAGGCCTGACTGGAATGTGGACACCAGAGACATTTTATAATCCAGAGAAATAGTTCTCAGCTGGGGTGATTTTGCCCTCCAGGTTGCATGTTGTCACAACTGCATCAGTATTATGGATATCTAGTAGAGACCAGGGATGCTGCTTAAACATCCTACAATGCAAAGGGCACCACTATACCGAACAATTGTCTGGCTCAAAATGTCAATAATGACAAGATTGAAAAGTCTGATCTACAAACAAACAGCTAACAGATGAAGGAAAGGAAGCAGCCAGTATAGTTTACCTGTGCATCAGGAGAACAAAGAGCTTATCCAAAATACATTGTCAATGGGGTTTTAAAAGCTTGTGAACTACCATCTAGGTTGCAACTATTCGTCTCTCTCCCTATCCAAAGCAAAAATGTGGGAAAACAAAGACATGATGAAGCAATGAGTCCAAGGGCTAATGGACCTCAGCTGCTACAATCCTGAAGCCAGAAGAACTAGATGGTTCCTGGCCACTACTGATGAGCACTTGGAATGGGTCACAACAGAAGGTCCTAAAGAGAAGGGGAAGAAAATGCAGAATAAAGCTCAAAATCATAGAAAGACACGGCTTGCCATCTGATAGGGATGAGTAGACCCCCAAGATTATGGTCCTTATTCACCTTTCAAACATGTGACTGAAATCATTCCAATGATTCAACTTTCTACCAAACAGTAGAAGGCCCACATAGTGAAAAATAACAAAAATGTGGAATGCACTCCTCAGAATAAGCAATTATACAAAATCATAAGGGCATCACTTGCCTAGTGATAAATCTCAGATAGGAGGAAGGGATCAGATAAAAGGGTAACTGGAAATGGTAAACACAGGGAGGAAGTGAAAAGAGTGCTGTTACATTTTGGGGACTGCAATCAATGTAACAAAATAAAATGTATATGAATTATTGAAAGGGTAACCAACTTGCTGTGTAGACTTTCACTCAAATCACAATAAAAAGTGAAAATAATAATAATAGGCCAAGAGGCAGTCTGAATAAGCAGAATAAGCAGTGCATTTTCAACACACTATGTGATGTGCTCTATTAGTTTGTCATACTGTAGTGGCTGGTGTGTTGCTGTAATGCTTAAAGCTATGCCACAGGTTCACTTCTGGTGCACAGGTTTCAGCAGAGCTTCCAGACCTAGGAAGACTAGGAAAAACGACTTGTAGATCTCCTTCTGAAAAAACACAAATCAGTTTTATGGATAACAGCGAAACACAGGGTAATACAGTGCTGGAAATTAGCCCTTCAGGTTGGAAGGCACTCAAAATAGCACTAGAGAAACATTGCCTCATCAAAGTGAAGTTACCCTCAGTGATGTAGATGGAGTAAAAGCTTTGGGGATCTTCATTTGCCAGTGAGTCATGACTCAAAATAAGAAGAAACAGCTGCAAATACTCATTAATCAGAACATGGAAATACAGGAGGGAAAATGAAATGTCAAAAAAATGAACTGCAACAACACTTTGTTTGAACATGACTGGGTACTAGAAGAAATAAAAAATGAAATTAAGAAGTTTCTTTAAACAAATGACAATGAAAACACCACTTACCAAAACCTCTGAGAAACAGCCAAAGCAGTAATCAGAGGTCAATTTATAGCAGTAAACAAACACACCAAAAGGCAGGAAAAAATTACTATTGACTCTCTAACCCAATATCTCCAACAAACTGAAAAAGAACAAGAAAACCCAACACCCTCTAAAAAATCTGAAATTATAAAAAGTAGAGTAGAAATAAATGAAATAGAAAACAAAAACCATTGAAACCACCAACAAAACTAGGAGTTGGTTCTTTGAAAAGGTGAATAAAATCAACAAACCACTAGCAAAACTAACAAAAGAAAGAAGGAAAATCAGGCAACATCACAACAGAACCAACTAAAATAAAAAGGCTAATATGACTGCTAGGATAACAAACAGGTTTGTCCTGGAGAAGGTGAAGCCGGAATGCTCCTTGGAGTCAAGGATTCTGAAGCTTCGTCTGACATACTCTGGGCACGTTGCAAGGAGGGACTAGTCCTTGGAGAGGGGCACCATGTTTGACAGAGTGAAGGGGTGGTGAAGAAGAGGAAGACCTTAGATGAGATGGATCGATTATGTGACTGGAGTGGTGGAAATAAGTGCGTTTGAGATGGCTAGGTTGGCACAGGATAGAACGGCGTTTAGAGCTCTTGTACATAGGGTCGCTATGAGTCACAAGCAACTTGATGGCATATAACAACAACAACAACATTAGAATATTGTGAAAAACTAAAACAAATATGAAAATATAGAGGAAATGGACAAATACTTAGAAATGCACAACCTATCTAAACTGACACAAACTGAAATTGAATACCTGAACAGAACCATTACAAAAGAAGAAATTTAAAAAGTAATAAAACAACTTCCAGCAAAAAGAGCGCTGGACAACATGGTTTTATGAGTGAATTTTATCAAATATTCAGAGAAGAATTGTCACCAATTCTACATAAACTATTTCAGAATATAGAAAAAGATGGAATTCTCCCAGACTCATTCTATGAAGCAAACATATCCTTGATACCAAAGCCAGGAAAGGACACCACCAAAATAGAAAACTATAGGCCAACACCTCTTATGAACATAGATGCAAAAATCTAACACCCTTTCCTCAGTAAAAC